CCTATCACCGTCCTGCTGGCATTGCACCCCTAACATGGGTCCTGCCTCCTCCCAGCTCCCTTGGCTGAAGGACTACAAGATGGCAGCAATGTCCCCATCCCTTGGCACTGGCAATCATGAGAAATGTGAGCAGTCACATGCTGACTGGAGACCACTGTGGGACAAGGACACTCCTATGGATGGTACACACAGGGCTAGCACCTCAGAGCTGTGGATCTGGATGTATTGCTCAAGGCAGACCCCCTTCTTTGTGTCCTCTAAGCAGCAGCGGGGACTTGCCCTGATTCCCATGGCCCTGCTGTTGCTCTGCAAGTCGAACAAGTGCAAATCCTATAGGCAAAACCACTGATGTCACAGGCTGGGGCAGAGGCCAGGTAAAGGGCCCTTGCTTGGCAAGAGGTGGTCCTACCTTGTGACAACCCTGAATCTTGCAGAAAAGGAGAGTGATGGGTCTTTCTCATTTTGCAGGAGGTTCAGCATGCAGAGCCAAGGCTGGAAACAGTGAAGTGCTCTGAGAGGGGTCTGAAGCCCTAGTTTAGGGGATGCTAGAGGAGGGACTTGCAAGACAAGACAGCTAGGCCAGTTCTGGACCCCTCCACAAGGGACATGGCACGTGCACCCACAGAGCATCAATGTAAGGAGACACAAAATGGTCTTGGCCAGTTGCTTTTAGTCAGGTACCCTAGCACCACCTAGGAAGGGTGGAATCGGAGTCACCAGTCACCCCTAGTGATCTACCTCCTTCCCCTCCCTGGGGAAACCTTGCTCCTGAATACACTAGAGGGTTTGTTCATGGCAGTACCCAGGCATCTGCCACCGCCACAGGTCCCTGCAGCAGAGATCCCCGAACTTTCAGGACCCCATCAGCCATGAAAAAAGGGAGCTGGATCTGTCTCTGAGTGTGGATTGGGGCAACTCTTCTTCTGGATGGCCATATCTTAACAGTTCTTGGGCTAAACCACAGGGGACAGCACAGGCTACTCCAGACTCTCTTCCCTAGCCCAGGACTCAGGGACTGTGGCAGGGGGCAGAGATATGAACTGAAAATAGGGTGCTATAAAGACATTTTCAAGGCAAAGAATCATTGCAAGGAAAAAAAGATTAATTATACACTCTCCAGACACCCACACCTTCCCCTCACACCCTTTCTGGTGTTATCTGGATCACTAACACCAGGACAGCCAGAGTGAACAGTCTCACTCAGCTTCTGCCATTACCTGACTTCTGCTCATCTTCCAGTTCCACCAGACTAACAAGCTAGGTACAGCTGTACAAAAGGTGACCTGCTGCAAAAGCACAACAATTTCTCGATCAGTGCTGGTGCTCCACCACTGCACCATCTGCTGCACATATCTGCCTCAAATAAGAGCGACTGACACTAAATACACCCTAAGCCTTTTTATCCAAGCCCCTCTCCCAGCCTCACCCTTCTTGATCTTGTCCTGCACCACAAATCAAATGAATCCGTCAAACTATTTCATTTAATCTTTTTTTTTTTTTTTTTTTTTTCCCCAGCTTCCTGGCAAGAAAATATTTGTCTATCTGTGGCATGGTCTTCAGAGATTTCTGTAGCATCGCCTGTCAATGATGAGTCAACAGCATTTGATTTTTAAGAGCACATTAGATGAATATCTATCAGTACTGTTTGTGTTTGGAGCTGGATGGGTACCTCTGCAGAAGCCAATTGCTCAGTGCTACACAACTGTACAGCAAGGCGTGAAGGGGCTTTTACCTGGTTGCAGCTAGAAGTTGGCTGAAAAAAATGAGGTGCACCAGAGGAGTTCACCTGTGGAGATGCCTCCAAAGCCAATATGCTATAGCATAACTCTGCTGGAGATTTATACCTGCTCTGGGCCAGGTATTTCAGAGCTGCCTTGCTCCTAACACCACAGCGCATATGCTGGCTCTTCTGCTGATGGCTGCACACAGTGGTCACATCATGTACCCTGCACCTGCCTTTGCACACTCTACAGCTTACTATTATTTTCTCCTCAGTTAAGGAGCTTTATCCATGGGTAAAAATACCATGGGTAAGTTCACATGCACCTAAAAGCTCATCAGCATGGGCACCTGCCCTTCCCCGTGCATCACAAGCAGGTGGGCCAGAGCAGGCTCTGCTGCAGAGATAGCTCCAAGTGGGTGCCAGGAGAAGATTTGCACTGACACCAGAATCACAGAATCACAGAATGGTCAGGGTTGGAAGGGACCTCTGGAGATCATCCAGTCCAACCCCCCCCGCCAGAGCCGGGTCACCTACAACAGGTTGCACAGGACAGCGTCCAGGCAGGTTTATAATGTCTCCAGAAGTCACAAGCTCAGGCTGGGAGGGCGAAGACCACAGCAGGTTCAGCTGTGGCTGCCAGCCCCTGGATGCACACAGAGCAGTCGGTGCTGGACAATGCCCAGCAAAGCCCTGCTGTGCCAGGCAAGCTGTGTCCAGGAAGGTCTACACGAATGCTAGGATGGCTCCTCATGCCTCCACACAGTACGGATGGGGTGGGGGTGGGGGTCTGTTTATCAAACGCAAGGGCCACAATTCATGCCACCAGCCTCCCCACCTCACAGACATCACCCTGGGAAAGCATTTGTTAGAGAAATAAACAAGTGCAGCCCTGAGGTGAGATGTCCTGCCGGCAGCCGGTGCCAAGATGCAAGCATCCCTCCATGCCACTGACCTGTGCAACGAAGTGACGACCTCCCAAGCACGGGCTGAGCCTCTGAGGGCCGAGTAGACCTGCCTGCAGCGCTCCCTTCTCCCTCCAGCTGGCAGTTCCCGGCTCTGGATGAGGGTGCCTGGTTAGATGGTCCCACTGGCTCTTTGCTCCATGGTGGCCACACCGTCAGCTGGGCACGGGGCGATGCCTGCAGGAATCCAGCACCTGTCGAGCGGTCTCTTGTGCCCCACTCCTTCCTTCGGGGCAACTACGTCCTCTTTAGAGAGCTAATACCCTCTCAGTCTGCTTTCCTCTGGCTCCGATGCTGCCCAGCAAAGCCACCCGTGGCCAACCCAGGGGGATGCCCCGTGAGAGGGGACCCCCTTACCTGCTGCGGGTGCAGGTAGTGCCCCGCAGCGCTCCCGGCATGGATGTGGGTCAGCAGCCGCTTATGGTTTCAGGTCGGCAGAGACCGGCGGGTGCTGAGCGGGCAGAAAGCCCTTCTCCACTTTTAAGAGGCTTTTCCAGCCAATGGGGA